TGTGAACTGGTGAGCTGATTAATTAAAGGGGGAACTTTGGTCTGAGTACACAGAACCCTTGTGGGCAGACAGAGAAGGCACAGCTCCCAAAAGAAAATAAGGTGCATGAGTCGCTCTGTCCCGTGAGTGGAAAGTATTTTTATTATTACTGAGGTTAATAATGGTGATGATCTGGTAGGGCTGGGTCAGCCGTCAGCGACCGCACTCTGCAGTCTCTTTCAGAGATGTCTCTGAGGAAGTCAAGAGCCCCCCAACTTGGCTGTGGCTAGGGAGGATAAAATAAATATCCTCCCCACTTCCTTTGTTCTTTCTTATACCATTCCTTGAGAACTCTGGAAAAGGAGGGCCCTTACGGTATCTCCATTACTCCCCATCATCCTCTTCTGCTCCCTTCAGTTTACTAAAAGGCAGCCTAGAGCCCTGAGCTTCCGGGGAGAGCCCTTCCAGGGAAGGAGTAGACTGCAAGAGTTTGGCAAGGGGTTGCCCAACCAATTCTCCTGTATTCTGACCCTGACCCCAGAGGGAGCTCAGGCTTACTTTTGCTGCTTTGTGGAATTTTCCTTCTTTCCTTAGCTTTTCTCAAACTGTTTTCTTTGGTGCTGGGTGTCATGGGTTCCCATGGGTTTCTGGCAGCGCACAGGCCAAGAACAAATTAAGGCACCCTGAGATACCATCACTTACCTCTCCTTAATTCTGGGAGCCTAGGCCACTATGCAGTCCTCCATAAACTAAGGCCAGCCTAATTTCTAAATATTTTGAAGCCATGCCAAGGCTTCTTTGAAAATAAAAAATCTTCCTCCTGAAAAGAAAGTTGAGGTTTCAGATCTCTAGCATAACAAGCTTCTAGTATCCACGTGTCAGAATTTTCAGCAACAATAGCAACAACAATATTCATAAGAAGAAGTAAAGCCTGTCTCAAAGAAAGAAAGGGACACTCCAGTCCAAGTTTTAAAGGGGATCATAATCCAGCAGCTCTGGATGGGAGTGTTGGGTCAGGGAGGCTGGGATGAGCAAAGAAGGGGGTGGGGAACCCAATGTCTAACTAACAATTTCTCCAGCATAAAAATGAAACATCAAATTCGTTAGCCCAGGGCCTTCATTTTTCCCCTTCCACATTATAACTAGTTATTGAACTCGCTGGAAGATCTAAAGGCCATTTGCGAAGAGACAAATTTCAATGGAGTTTCCCCATCAATAACCCCATGGCAGTGACCTATTGGAACAAGTCAAACACCCGAGGTGAAATGCAGGTCACTCTGTCTAACCAATATTAAAATGCAGCCACTTTTTAAAAAGCCACTTTAAACAAGATTTGAGGAAAATTGAATTCCAAGGAAGGCAAGGCAAGGTGGGGGAAATCCACAAACAGACCTTGCCTATGGTCTCCGAACAACAAGAGAAATTCATCTTTAATATTTTAAGGGGGGACAAATTAACATTCCATGATTGCATTTTTTGAGACTATAAGCGATTCCAGGAGGGGGGAAAAAGGGTTGAGTATTTTCTGGTGACACGTCCAGGTTATTAAAATCATTTTAGACCAATTCATTACTTTTACTGACAAGAGATTTAAGAAAAAATCAATTAAGCATTTGCATATTCTTTTGCATACATTAGCCCTGCCTGCTGGCATTAGAAAGGGACAAAAACACACATATATCTACCTTCACACGCGTACATACACAAAAGAAAAAAATGGTATGAGAGTATTGTTATAGTTTAGTGTTTTCAAATTGCCTAGGGGAGAAAAAAATCAAAATGAAATGAATTGCCTGATTACATACCATCTAAAAGTCAATTTATTTAGGGGAAAAAAGGAGACACTGCAATTTTAATCCCCAAAACAACAACAACAACAACATAAAACACATACACACATATACAAAAAAAAAATCTTGCACTTGGGAGAGTGGGAAATGGAATAATCCTTATTTTCCTTCCTTTTGCTCTTCAAATCTTGAATTGGTTTTCCCATTTATTTTTTTCCCCTTAGAAAATCCAGGGAGTATGAGAGGTGAGATTTTAATGCAGCTCAGAATCTGTGGAGACACTGAGATCTCAGCCAGCAGCTTGTTACTGAGGAGGGGAGGAATATGGGTTATCCAACGGTCAGTATGGTAATCTGGGCACAATAAGGCCTCACACACAATGGACACATATTTTTCTTCAGTGGTGTCAGAAGGGAAGCGCTTTGTACTGAAACATGTTTCCGAAAGAGAAACCAGATCAAGATTCAGAAAGGAGATGGGGTGTGGGGCGGCCTTCAGAGAAAGCATTTGGATGCAGGAAAAGGTGGTCAGAAAAAATATAAAATAAAATTGGGCAGAATGAGGTGAAGGACAGAGCTGAGGTAGAAGTCCTTGGGCTGGCCAGGCAGGAGGGGACCACACAAAAGAAGACAGGACCAGATCCAAGGATTCATTCCAGAGAGAGCTGCTCTAATATCCCCTCCCCATCTCGAGTAAGCCATTGCTAAGTGCAGGCACCCTCTGAAAGGATTTTATTTTTGTGCTTATAACAATATCCAGGTAAAAATGTTTGCATATGTATGTATGGTGAGGTATTTTATCCATGTGATAGGCAACTTCCTTTTTATTAAGCTGTAGGAGCCCAGAGGGAGTTTTTTGTTTTTTGGGGTTTTTTTTTTTTCTAAATGATGTAGATGAGTGTGGACACATTTGGGGGAACCTCCTAGGTGTCACTATATTCATTTTCAATTTGCCTTGAATAAGAACTTCACATATTTATAGATATATAAAGAGCATTTAATGTTTAATAAATATTAATAGCATGTATTTATATCTATTTGTTAACCCTAGTAGTCAAAGCCAGACTTGACACTCAGTGAGAAGCAGCTGAGCCCTCTGTGTCTACTCACTCATACTGGCCCAAGAAGGTACTCAACCCACCTGCAGAAGCTCAGAAACCCGGGGAGGAGGATGGTATGATGGCAAGTCCAAGAAAGCGAGGATTAAAGAAAAGAAGGTTTAGGCAGGGAGCAGGTTTGGTAAAGGCATATGTAGAGGCTAGGAGGAGACCTAGATAGAAAGCCTACCTTTCCAGGCGTGGAAGAGACTATTCTCAGCAGGGCTAGGGTGGGGCAGCCAAGTCCAGGTGCATGGCCCAGAAGGAAGACTAGGGATGAGCCTGGAAGAGTTGTGCCCCTTCTGTGCACTGTTCCTTCACTTTACCAAAGTTCTCTGAAGATTTGGACCTCCCCATGGGGCAGTCTAGGACTAGAGTTCAGACTTCTGCAGCTCAGGATTCAGTACTGGTTTCCTTCTGCCTTCTCCCAGCAACTTGTAATTAATCTACTCTCACCAACAATTTCAAAAACAAAAACTTTCAAAGGACTGCCCACAGCCCTCAACCAAACAGCTGCTGCCCCCTCACTCACAGCCACAAGTTCCTGTTCCCACCAAGCAGCCAGTTCTCACAGTAGGAGGCTCCGGGTGCAAGTGGACAAGGGTTCTCCACCTTCTCAGAGAGTTTGGGGATCTCCTATAAGTATTGGCTGACCCCAGGGAACCCTGTTCCCTCACCTGCTGGAGGTACTGCGAGCCGGATAGGGCCCTGTGAGAGGGGCAGTGGCCCTGGTGCTCCTAGGCTGGGGTAGAAGGCTCCACACTGGAGCAGGAAAGGCGGGCAAGGTTGCAGGTGGGGACATATCTCTTTGGGCATCGCCCCTGGCCCAGGTTCCCTCTTATTCCAACCCTCAGGGTGAGCAGTAATTTGGAAGTGGGGACCCGCTTCCATATCCCAAAGGTAGTAAGAGGAGATTGAAAATCTCCCGCCTTCAGTCTCCCTCTCACAAGGGCTTTATTTTTTTTCCTTTCCCCTCCTCATTCCCTTAATTGCAGATGTTCTAATTAAACCCTCAAATAGTTGTTATGCCGTTTTAAAAGGTACTTATTCAAGTGTCAACCAGGCTGGGCTGGGAGGAGGCAGCATAGGGCGGCGAATTAAAGGTAGATTGACTAATCACGGCGGCGATCATAATAATAAAATCAGAGGGAAAAAAATCACATTACGACTTTTCGTGGAAAGGAGGGAGCAGGCAGCTAGCGGCCGCCAGCCCTGAGCCGCCGCCGACACAAAGAGTGCGGGCGATTCCGCGAGACTGATTTATGACGTTTTACAGCCCTATAAAAGCTGTAGCGACGAGGCAAGCGCTCCTACCACCGCTGGCAGATTTAGTCTAATAAATAAAACATAAACAGTTAACTTTATGTGTCACTTTTATTGTTATCAAGTAAAATATAGCCGAGCCCCGGCAAGCTATGATTTTAAACTATAATTGTTATCAAGTACAACAAGGGGACCCGGCTCCTTCCCTGGGCTTTCCCTTCTGCTACCCTCCCCAGCTCTGAATTATGAGAGATTAGTTAATTGGAATTAGTAGCATGACGTGGCCACCCCTAGCTGGGGGGGGGACTGAGAAAGCATCCCTTCCTTGCCCCCCTTTCCCTGACACCCCTCATCAGGGTTTGCCTGTGAATGGGTTGCAAAGGGAGGGGAGAGACAGGAAGGCAGTGGAGACCCCCAAGGCTTCCCCTGCCTCCCCAGCTTGGTGACCTCACCCCTCCTCTTTGGAAGGCAGCCTGGAGCTGGCCCTGGGGAGGCCGTGTTTACATGTAAACACACGTGTTACATGGATACAGTATCTGGCCCAAAGCAAGCAGCTGTACCCACACAGGCCTTCCTCTCGGCTAGGTCCACCTTCTGTGAGGATGGGAGAGGAGAACTCCCAGGGTGTCTGCTGGGCAACATCACAAGGCACTGACTTAGGACAGAGAGCTATCGTCTTTGCCAGAACTCCTTAGGAGCCAGTCTGGGAGGTCCTTGTCAGAAACCAGCAGGCCAGGCAGCATGGAGAATGCAAACCGGAGCCAGCAGAAGAGATCCTCTGCTTTCGGGCTGGGGCAGGGAGGGCCAATGGGTAGAGGGGAGGGCAAGACTTCTAAACTCTGCTTTGCCAACCACTTCCTGTCTCTCTTCAGCGGGGGCTCAACCCCTAGACCTCCAGAAATGACGTCAGAATCATTTGCATCCTGCTGCCTCTACCTGCCCGGTCCAGCTGGGACCCTGCCTTGCCTGCCCCATGGCCAGAGGGTTGGGTGAGTGTGTAGGGGACAGGGGGGCTGGACTTTGGGATCCTTGGATGGGGGCGCACCCCAGGCTCTCTAGCCTCCTCGGCTCAGCTGGGGCCCCTCCCCATCCAACCTCCACTCCAGTCCTCATTCAACTTCCTCTTCCTGCGAAAGAGGGGCGCTGCCCCACCGTGACCTATGCAGACTGAAACACGATCGCCACGTATGGAGACCACTGGAAAGCTCTGGAGCCAAGGCCCGTGGGGCCGGCCCACTGGAGGCCGAAGAGGAGACGCTGGGTGGGGGCTGAAGCACAGACTTCCGATAGCCTCCCAGTGCCCAGGCTCTGGAGGGGAAGCTGGGAGCTTCCCATCTCCTCTTGCAGGGGAGGGTTGTCAGTTTGGCGGGGTGTGCACTGGGGGGCACCCCAGCCCCTGCCAGGCATGCCCCCATCATCTCCCCCCAGCAGCAGCACCACCACACACACAAAAAATTGGATACATTTTGAATAAAGCGATTCGGTTCCTTATCCGGGGACTGGGTTGCTCCGTGTGATTGGCCGGCGGAGTCACATGGTGAAAGTAACTTTACAGGGTCGCTAGCTAGTAGGAGGGCTTTATGGAGCAGAAAAACGACAAAGCGAGAAAAATTATTTTCCACTCCAGAAATTAATGATCATGAGCTCGTATTTGATGGACTCTAACTACATCGATCCGAAATTTCCTCCATGCGAAGAATATTCGCAAAATAGCTACATCCCTGAACACAGTCCGGAATATTACGGCCGGACCAGGGAATCGGGATTCCAGCATCATCACCAGGAGCTGTACCCACCACCGCCTCCGCGCCCTAGCTACCCTGAGCGCCAGTATAGCTGCACCAGTCTCCAGGGGCCGGGCAATTCGCGAGGCCACGGGCCGGCCCAGGCGGGCCACCACCACCCCGAGAAATCGCAGCCGCTCTGCGAGCCGGCGCCTCTCTCAGGCGCCTCTACCTCCCCGTCCCCAGCCCCGCCAGCCTGCAGCCAGCCAGCCCCAGACCATCCCTCCAGCGCCGCCAGCAAGCAACCCATAGTCTACCCATGGATGAAAAAAATTCACGTTAGCACGGGTAGGCAACTTTGCTTTTTGCTCCCCCTCCCTCCCCTCTTCCCTGGCGCTCCCCACCCTCCCCGGCCCCCTCCGGCCCGGTCCTCCTTTCTCTCCTTCCCCCTCTCTCTCTCCAGGAGCGACTCTGGGTTAGCACAATTGAACTGGATTTACGAGCGAGAATGGGTAATTACATCCCCCATAAATTTTATGGCTTAGCTACTCTGGGCAGTCCGAGCCATGTGCTACGATCTGTTATGTATGTGTGAAAACTATGCTCGCTTTCTAAGGGCGCATAAATAATTCAGTGTCGTTACAATGAGGATTCCCCTCTTATTACACTACAAAGTCTCTAGCTTCCTTGAACTTCTTTATAACCCATTTAGCTTGATGACTTTATTTCCACCACTCCCTCCTCCTGTGCCTCAAAGCTGAGCTTGGGGTGAGGGTGGGGGGCAGAAGCCTACTGCCTCTGAACCCCACTATTTGCTTTTCCCTCCCCGCCCTCCCAGTGAACCCCAATTATAACGGAGGGGAGCCCAAGCGCTCGAGGACAGCCTACACCCGGCAGCAAGTCCTGGAATTAGAGAAAGAGTTTCATTACAACCGCTACCTGACCCGGAGGAGAAGGATCGAGATCGCCCACTCGCTGTGCCTCTCTGAGAGGCAGATTAAAATCTGGTTCCAAAACCGTCGCATGAAATGGAAGAAGGACCACCGACTCCCCAACACCAAAGTCAGGTCAGCGCCCCCGGCCGGCGCTGGGCCCAGCACCCTCTCGGCATCCACCCCGGGCACTTCTGAAGACCACTCCCAGAGCGCCACGCCGCCGGAGCAGCAACGGGCAGAGGACATTACCAGGTTATAAAACATAACTCACGCCCCTGCCCCCACCCCACGCCCCATCCTCCCCCCCCCCGCACACAAATTGACTCTTATTTATAGAATTTAATATATATATATATTTTTTGGTTCTTTTCTCTCTTCCTCCCGCTTCCTCCCTCCTCAATTCCAAATAGACAAAACAGATAAACAAGCCCCCTTCCTTCTCTCCCTTCCACTGTTAAGGACCCTTTTAAGCATGTGATGTTGTCTTAGCATGGTACCTGTTGGGTTTTTTTTTTTTAAAGGCCATTGGGGGGGTAATTTATTTTTTAAGAAAAATGCTGGAAAAAATATATATTGCAAGGTTGGATGGTCTGGTTTGGGTAAATTTCAGGGGAGATGAGAAAAGAAAAAAGGAAAGGGAGATTTTAAAGCTAATTCTCATCATTCTCTTCCTCCTCCCCCCTCTTTCCTTCACTTTTGCATTGAAAATGCACCAGGGGAGGTTAGTGAGGGGGAAGTCGTTTTAAGGAGAACAAAGCTATGAAGTTCTTTTGTATTATTGTGGGGGGGTGGGAGGAGGGGGGAGGATAGCAGACAAAGCTAAATGCATCTGGAGAGCTTCGCAGAGCTGTTCAGTTTGAGAAGCCAAAAGAAAATCCAAATGAACTTTAAGTTCAGAGAGGCAGTCTATAGGTAGAATCTCCCCTCACTCCCATCATGGTTATTGTGTTTTTGGACTGAATTTACTTGATTATTGTAAAACTTGCAATAAAGAATTTTAGTGTCGGTGTGAAATGCCCCGTGATCAATAATAAACCAGTGGATGTGAATTAGTTTTACTTCAATGTCTGATGGTTTCTTTTCATCCTCCTCCTCCTGGCCTGGTAACGTCCTCCCTTCTCTATAGTTGCCTAAGTTTACTCTAAGCAAACACACAAACCTTAAAACTCTCAACTCCCAATTTTCCAATGGCCTTAGAAGAGCCCACAGGGGGGTTGGGATAAGAAACATGGAAGATTGTGGCTGATTTACCCTGTCCTCTTCCTTTTGAGTCTACAGAAAAGCCAGAGCTGGGGGTACTTAGGATGAAGTGGGAGAGTCACTTTTCTATAGTTAGACACAGTCCCTTCTTTTTGTTTGTTCTTTGCTCCTCTTTTTTTCTGTCAAATAAGTCTGCCTAATCTGCAGCAGACTAGAAGGCAAGTTTAGGAAGTAGGATGAAGAAAACTTTGGAACGAGTGATTGAGGACTATATTCCCTGGAAATCTAGTTTCCTTAGAAAACTACAGGTTTTGAGCTGATGATCTCCGAAGCAGCAAAGTGACCTGTCAGGATTGGTTTCTCTGTTTAGTCCTGGGAAAAAGGGTGAAGTGAAGCCAGGACAGAAAAAAGGACTTTTTTGTTTCTCTTAAATTTTATCATGGGACAGTCAGCCAGTAGTAGATGTTGCGATAAGACTCAGAAAGAGGCCAAGACCAACCCTCTCCCCACAAGCTCCCCGGTCCTTGCAAGAGATGGGATAGGGGATGAGGGTGAGCAAGGCTCTCTGCCTACTACATGTGTGTACGCTTATATGTGTATTTCCTTGTGACTAAGAAGAAGAAAGGGAGAAAGTCTAAGTGAAGAATTAATTCAAGCCAAAGGCTCCAAAATAAATCTGGTCCTGGAGATCAGGCCCTAAGCTAGGCCTGCTCAGTTTTTTGCTTGTTTGTTAGAAGATGGTGAGAGAAGGGCAGTTGGTGAATCTCTTCTTGGGCAGTTTATCTAAATTTCAGAATGGAGGATAATCAGAAGTAGGAGAGGGAGAAGCAATCTGGGATGGGTAGCGTTCCCTGTTGCCTCTAGCCCACATTCTGGAGGGAAGGGCAATAGTGGGACCAAGTTGGGAAAATCTGGTTGGTGTCTTTTAAATTCATTTCTTCTTCAACTACTTGCTGACTGGTTCTTGATGTGTGTGTGTGTGTGTGTGTGTGTGCGCGCGCAAACATGTTTGTGTGTTTGGGAGAATCACTTAGTCCTTAGGTCTACTTCCTCCTCCCTCAATGATACCCTAGAGACAGCAAAACATGCTGCCTATAGTGTTGAGAAAGCAGGGCCAACAATTATCTGGAGTTATTTTATGTAATCAAGTGAATTAGGGGCCTGATCTGACTGGAGCCCCTATCATCTTGAGGCAGTTGCCTTTGGGCAGGATGGGGGGGGGTGCCTATCAGTTCTTGGGAAAAGAGAAGGAAAGTCTGAAAGCTGGGCCAGGGTGTTTTTGTAAGCCATAAGAAGCTGAGATGGCAAGGAAGTTGAGGGTGACTTGAGATCCACAGTTCTTTCCTAAGTTTGCTTATTTGAGGAGATAAAACTAGGAGGGAAGTCACTATATTTATTTTCTTCTTTAACTTACTAAATGATACTACTTAACTCAGGAAAATCCGTTTTTCAAAGATTGGTACATTTATTTCTCCTTCACTAGCTTCTGTTTTTCTTTCTACACACACACCCACACACACCCACACACACACACACACACACACACACATTGTCTCTGTGATTTCTTGGTCTACAAAAGGGAAACTTTAGAAATCCATAATTTTTGACAAATGAAAATCCTTTAACTTGAATTTTTGAAGATTTTGGCCTCTGGCCTTCTCTCTAGTGGGTTCAGTTTTCTCCACTTTCCCCAAAGCTTTCCTCTGCCTTGGACCTGACCACCCAGAATGGGCTCAGCTCCTAGGCAGAGATGTGCTGCGAAGGACCCCAGCTCCAGCAGTTTGGGTCCCCATTGCTCCATCCGATGCTGCTTCAGCCTCACTGGGAAGGCTTTTTATTGAAGTTGAGTTGAGCAGTGGAGAAAGGCTGAGGGGGAGGATGCAGCCCAGGTTCACGGGGAGGACACAGCATTTTCTCTCCCATTGCCTTTATATTCAGCAGCGCCTCTGACCTCTCCCCCACCCCCATCTTAGACCCTCCTGGGCCAGGCTTGCATGGGCCCTGGTCTCCAGATAGGACGCCACTGCTTTTGTAGAACTGGGGATTTCTTGCCCAGAGTCCTGAGAGAGGAAAGGCACGTGAATGCCTGTGAGTGCAGCTTTATATCTCTCTTTTCAATGGCTAAATTTAAAAGCAGAAGGGGTGAACGGCCAACACCAGTCTTCCAAGTCCTTCTCTCCAAGCATCGGAGGCCCCACAGATCCAAAATCCCCTTGGCATGTAAGTAGTTAGCACTTACTTGCTCTGGAATGAGGAGCACAAAAGTTGAAACTATCTCTGCCCCTGGATTTTTGTCTCAACTCCTGGTGTTAGGAAAGTCAGGAGGTCTCATTGTGGATGGAAAGGATCTGCTTGGGGAAAATGGAGTTTCTGTGATGAGTACCTGGGGAGGAAAAAACTTGGCTGAAGAAGGAAAAAGAGAGTCCTGAGAAAAAAACAGATGAGGGGGGGAAAGACTGGAGTGCTTCGTTTCTCTGAGCGTCTCTTACTGCTGTTTGTATGAAGTTTCCTACAAAGTTTTCTTCTGTAGTCATGTGTCCTCTTTCTTCCTATGTGGATTTACTTGACAGATTGAACTCCAGGGATGTCTTCTGTGTTAGAGGGTGTGTGTGTGTGTGTGTGTGTGTGTGTGTGTGTGTGTGTATTTGGGAGAAGATTGTATAGTAAATCTTGAGGCTAAGGTACTCTCTGCTAGGCATGGTTTCTCCTAGGGTGTGGGAAGGCTGAGTCTGAAAGAGCCCCCGACATTGAGGGTACCATGTGCTGAGGCAGTTCCATCTTTCACTCCGCGTTTTGCTAGGTCCTGAAGGAGCTTAGTGTTACACTGGAAGAGCAGCTTCTCTGGGCTTCCCGCAGCTTCTCTGGGCTTCCTGCAGCTTCTATAGGCACCTCACCTTTGGGGAACTAATTCTGATTCCAATGCTCACCTTCCAAGAGACTTCTAGGTTTGGAAAAGAGATGAAGGATTCCCCAACTCTAGCGGCCACCAGAGCAGAGGGAATATTTATTACCTCTCTGGATGTCATTACCTAAGAATACAATTTTATGAACTTCCTAATCTGTTAGCTTGATTTATCTAGATGGGCAGAAGCCCAAAATAAACATATGGGGGAATTTGATGGGGAAAAAAAGTCCGCCTTTGACCAGTCTTTCTGATAGAACTGACCACTGCTCTCGGCCTGTTTTTTTTTTTTTTTTTTCACCCATATCACTAGTCCCATTTTAATTTTTCTCCTGTAGTGCGTGGCTGCTCCAGTATACAAGTTTTAGATGCCTCCTGAGAATTAAAAATGGTGGGATGTTCTTTTAAGCCAGAGATCTGCAGAGATCCCTTAGATCCCTTAAAACCTTCATCAAAGTCAGCTGAATTCAGTCTCCTCTTGGATTTGGGGAACTGGGAGAAACTGAAGCCTCCAGCAGACAGATGAGGATGTTTGCTCATCTGACCACCAAGACCACAAGCCCCATCTCAGACCTGGCTCTCCAGCCACTCCTTGGGTTTTTTTCTTCTGTCTGGTGTCAGCTCTATAGCGTCTTGCAACACAGGGCCAGCTGATCCAGCAGAACACACACAGTGGCAAACAGGGAGAAAGGCCTCTGCACCTCCAATTCCTGCTTCCCCTTCCTGCTAAGCCCAGGAATGAATCAGGAGAAAGGGAAGACAAGGCTGGGTAGGAAAAGTCTCAGAGTGTGTTTGAGGGTGCACAGGTTTATAAAGCCTAATAAAGGGAAAGGGATTGTTTCCCATGTCTAGTCTCCATCAACCACTGCCAGGTTCTCTAATATGGAGTCTTTTGGGGTCTGCTCAGCCTGCCTGCAGGATATGGGTCAAGCCAAAGGAACTGTCATCTCTACTCATTGCTCATTTTTTTGCTCTCTCTATTCCTGGCATCAGAGACTAGAAGAAAGTATATTTGAATTTCCAGGGGGCAGGAATCTTGAAAGGGAGCACAGAGGAGGACGAACTGCCAACAGCCAAGCTATGCCCCAGGTTCTGGCTCCCTCCCAGCCTCTGGCTTCCTGGGAAGCTGAGGTACAAAAGAACGGACAAATTCGGCAGTTTTCATCTGTCTGGTGTGTGGGAGTCGGGGTGGGGGTGTCTCTGCTCCTTGTCTTACAGAGCAGAGGTCTCCATGATGGCAAAATTGGGCCAGCCGGGGCAAAGGCGAGGTTGGGGAGGCAGTGGCCCTGCTCCTCGGGGTTCCGTGCCTTTTACGCCCTGGGCTCTGTGTAGCCTTTGCCTGGGTCACGACCCAGGGCTAGGAAGGCAGACAATAGGGCGCTGGGCGGGGGGATGAGGGCTTCGTAACCGGCTGAGCGATTCACCGAGCGGTGAACTCTGCTCTGCCTGGGGTCTCGATCTTAGATCCCAGCCTTCCTTTTCTTTCCCTAGTTCATCTTCTAAATTTTTTTGTTTATTGTAAATTGAAAGTACTCTCAATTGCATCTCAACCAATACTCCCGCTGCTACCAGCAAATCAGATTTCATTTTCCTTAGAACTGAAAGGACAGTTTTCTTCCAGTTAGAATAGGAAGTGGGATCCTCTCAAGACCTTCGTGGGGAACAAGGCAGATGTTTTCAGTAGAAGCGTCCCACGGAGGGGCCGCCTGCATCCAGGACTTCCCTGGAAGGTCCCAGCGGGTGGAATCCCCAGGTAGAAAAGATCTCAGGCCAAGAAGGTGTGCGTCTTGCCCCAGTCACAGGTAGAATTACCTTCTTCTGTCTCCTAGATTTATCCCCCCTGCCCCCTACCCACCCCGTGGTTGGCAGAATAGGATTAGGGCTTTTACGGGAAAAAAAAAAAAAAAAAAAAAAAAAACTTCAAATCCAGGAGTAGGGACGGAGGAGCTGAGCCCT